GGGGAAACAATCCAACCGGGGGATTGTTTGGCTGGTACGCAGGATTTCCGAGCACTAACCCGCGTCCAGGGATGAGTAGTCTAACCGGGGGACGGAACTCCATAGCTCACACGCCGGCACTGCCAACGACACGTGTAGCTCACAAATCTCATAACAAGTCGTACGCGCGCAGACAGTATCATCACCCCATCGGCACTGCCAACGACGTGTGTGATAATATTAAGCAATATACATACTCTTCCCATACGCCGGCACTGCCAACGACACGTATGGGAAGTGTCTCACACATCGGCACTGCCAACGACGTGTGTGGGAAGCCTAGTAACTAGGGAATGGTACTCACCTAACATCCTCATACATCTCACAACCATCCCTCAAACTCATATCTTTCCACAATCTCACCACAATAACTCCTCATACTCTATACATAGACAATATAGATAGACATCCCAAAATCCATATAAACATATTCATCATACTCACATATATCCATACTCAAAATATATTGCCAATACGTATAAGAATATCCAAATCCATCAACCAAATACTTATTAAATCACATTTACCATTTAAAAATATATGCACAAATCTTTTATCAATAAAACCATGCGAATGCTAGAAAACAAAGTCCACTCACAAATAATCCCAAGCTGCCCGGCCCCGAGAGGGTCCTGCCTGCTGTGAATGATCGACCGAATTACCTATTTCGAGATATGAACTCTTGATTAATATAACGCACTTCAAAACGGAAATTCACAAAAGAGAATACTTAAATCCCCAAGTTCCCGGTCGTGTACGTCCAATGGAATATCCTAAGGTCCGGTTACAGGTTTGGGAATCGCTTCCAATCGTACGGTTATTGCTAATCCCCAAACTTCGAATTATTGAATTGGAACATCTGGGGCACCGATTCACGATCCGCGAATTGCTATAGGTTTCTAAGAGTACCTAGATCAACATACTTCAATTTGGAAACGATCCAACCGTTAGAACCTATCGAACCTGGATAACGCACAATATGCGAAATCCGTTCGATAGTCAAACGACATCCAAATTAAGATCCGTAAAATCCTACGCACTCGTGACAACCTAAGGATCTCATCAGGATAAAATGCAGCTCCACTACCCTTGCCCAAGCGCCGCCACACGCGCCGGCAGAGCATGGGTGTGTAGAGAAATTTACGGCGACGGAAAATCTCCAAATCACAAGTCACCCTTCCAATCCTAGATACTACTCGACAAATGAAGCATCTTCTTCAACTACCACAAGGTCCAATTCGTACGGGAACTGGCCGGAATTTCAAATTGAAAACTGGCCAAAACCTAGCTTTTCAAATCGGTTCCTAGACTACAAATTGATCAAAACGTATGCAACAGACAGCTAGAACTCGAAAAATGGATGAGAAACCTCACCTCACCCGTCGGAAATGGTGGTCGGAGGAGAGAATTCGAGCGGCTGGAAGTTCCTGTCAAATCCGGCGACGTTTCTGCATTTTCTGGCGAATATCGAGGGTTCCAGGAGCTGTGCTGGCCAGGGAAGAGAGAGGAGAAGGTGGTGGTTCGAATGGGACCGGTCTCGAGGGCTGAGGTGGACTGTGGCGGCGGCGGCACGGTGGTTTCTGTTCGGTTTGTACAGTGACGGGGAAACTGTAGCACGTAGAGGGAAGAAACGCAGGAGGAAGAGAGAGAAAGTGAAGGGTAAAAACTGAAAATCTGATTTTTACTCAAACTTACTTTGAAATAATTACGGTAGCGCCACTGAACTTATTTTGATCGCCAAATCTTCATTACAACTCCGATTCAAGCCTACCGCATGTCTACGGTTTCATCTCAGTACTACCTACGCAATCAAACCACTAGTGGTCCCGAAATCCTTTCGGATAAGAAAATGACCAAAATTACCCTTAACCCAAGGGTAAATTCATAATTCTCTTAATTTAATTAAAATTAGAAATAAATTTGGAGTCGGGGTGTTACATTTTTATTCAAGACATGTTGGTAAAATACTTTGTTTCTGGAACTGCAATGCAGTTTCCAAAAGTCCAATTTTGAGTTTCCTTGCTCTCTTGCCCACCCAATTCCTCATACGGGTAGCATCTACTCTTTAAATTGGTGAGGTTGAAGGCCAAGGAAAGAGCAAAATCCAAGTGTAATTAAATGAAAACTGCAATGTAGTTTGTGCAAAACTATAATGCAGGACCTGTACAATATAGTTTTGCAATACCATTTCCAAATAAAAAACTTCAAACCCATGCACCAAAAAGCTAAACCAAAACTTGATAAGAATTTCAATATTAGAGACCCTTTGAAACATACTGTGTGTACCAGCTCCATATTTTGGATTCGTTCATAAAATTGAACAAAAAACACAATTTGACATTCAATTTCCAAGCACTTGCCCATGACAAATTGATCTGAATCCTAATATTCAAAGACTCGTATTTACAAAATAAACAAAATTCAAATGAAATTATTGGTAAAATTACAGACAAAAAATCAAGTAGACATCAAATGCATGCAAATTATAGGGATCAAAAGTGTTAAAGTGATGAATGACAACATACCTTTGACGACCAACCTGGTTTGACAAAATCTGACAAACCAAAGTCTATATAGCCTTCAACTGTGAATCCTCATCCTTTGACGAAAACAGAAAATTCTGAACAAGATACACTTAGATGAGTATACATGAATGTGAAATGAATGCAAGTTACAAACAACAACTAAATGCTTGAAAAAAAAATGCAGTTATGAAATGATCAATGCAAGTTACAACTCCAGAGGACATATATCCTACCTCAGGTTTAAGATGGCAAAACGCCTTGAAGGTGGCAAAACGCAACAACATTTAATATTTGTATCATGACAGTCCTTGCATCATCCTCCGTGTATTTCCACCCCTGAAGAAAGGAATAAGAATATCCTTAAAATATGATAGGGCACCAGTTGCTGTTGAATTACCAACCATTTTTCCCATGACTCTCCTATATCCCAGTCCATCAAGAACAACCAAAACATAACAAGTTCAAGACACGTGCATTCAAATTAAATAGGCACCAGAAGAAATACATTGCAAGTATCCTATCTAAGAGCTCCCCTCCTTCACGTGCATTCAAACCAAAATCGTTTCTGTGTTTCCTGTAAATCATGTGTCCGCCAACAGATCCAATTCAAACAATGCCAACGAAACGTTTTAAGGATCCATATCAATCACAAAGACGACTGATCATCCTCAGAATCCTCAAAACCAACTAATTCACAAATAAATTGATTAGTAAACTCAGTCAAACTGAGAAATTATTGCAAACTAGGTTGGTTGACTTCGGCCGGTGAAGGCGGAAGGAATGAGCCGTGAGTCAAGCAGCTTTAGAATTTCATCGCAGATCGGTCTCTTGATCTTGGATTGATGATCATAGATCATGGCGACGTGGTCATCTTTGCTGCATAGAGAGAGAGAGAGAGAGGGAGAGATCTGATCAACAAAAAGGGAAACCAACGAATTTGGGTCAGGCTTTTAAACAAAAAAAGGTATAATTGTCTTTTTAGTAATTAATGTAAGGTGGGCCAACGAATCTGGGCCTCCTCTTTGGCCAAATCCAAAACAAAATTCAATTCCTAGGTATTAAAATCAAAACAGAAATACTGTTTGTCTCAAATACTAATTAGTAAGGATAATTATGTATAATACCTAATTTTTCTAAAATAAAATGTATAGAAAACATTTGTGTTTTTTTTATAGAAGCAGGATCTTGCTGATCTTCTATTTCCAACAAGGATCTTGCTGATCTTATTGTTGATATTGTGTCTATGTACACGACATTGTTTTAACTTTTCATTCGTATTATTCAAGATTCCGCTCTAAAAACCTGAAAAGAAAGAAGAGAAGGAAGATGGAGATGTTAGCAGATTCCGAAAGTTCAGATAGATATATTACTACAGCCTTATTAGAGGCAGATAGTCATGGAGAAGAAGGAAAACAAAGAAACAGGCGGTCATGGAAGAAACTGTACCTGGACGTGGACGAGGAAAAAAAACAGGTATTGTATATATTTTCGATCGTTTCCCAGTAATTTTTCTTTTTCTTTTTCTGGTTGATGAAACTGGGAAATCCAAAATTATTTGTTTTAGCATATTAGTGCGCACACAATCACATGCATGGAATAATGCAGTGTATAAATTGCACAAACATATCATGTTTGGTTTTGAGTTGTTTTTTTTTTCTTTTGGGTAAATTAGGGTAGGATCTAATCTATTCATAATCCTAAAAACATTTCATGTATTTTTATTTTATTTTTGAGTTAGGAACTTTACCAAACAGTATGGATAAAGTAGTGGACTAAATTCATATGTAGAGAGGGGATTCGAACTCGAAAGTTTATGATTGAAGTACATACCTAAATATTTCACCAATAGAAGAAATAGATACCCAAAAAGTGTCCATGATTGAATTCTTGATCAGAAAACAAAAGTCTCTTCTTGTTGGTTGTACTCTACTTAATTTAATTATGATAGTGCAATGGCTCACACTATATATGTTTATCATCCGCCATATGAATTCCTCGGACCACTTTGTCATTGAGTTTTTATTTAAAAACAAATTGGTACTATTTTTATCTTCTTAGTTTATTGTTGATTTGTCTTTATTTATAAGTTTTTTTTTTTGGGTCAAAATTTATAAGTTCATTTTTTACAATCTCTATTATTCGTCTTCTAGGTTGCGGAGAAAATGATCGGTGAAGGTGAGAGATTCGACCTTTCTTTGGTGTTACTTCGTTTATTGTTAATTTTTCTTTTCTACCATTTTCTTGCAAATCAATTCTATTAGGCCTATCTTTTTGATTGAATATTAAGAACAAAATTTGCACAAAAAATGAATTTTTAAGACATTACTAATGCACCCACATTGTAGCTAGGCAGATGGGCTTGGAGAAGAAGGATCAAAAAGAAGGTGGTGGAACAAACTGTTAGACGTTGAGGAGGCCAAAGTACAGGTCTACTTTTCACTGCCAACAATTCTCACCAATGTGTTCTTCTCCTTGATCCCATTGGTCTCAGTCATGTTTGCTGGCCACCTTGGTGAGCTTCAGTTGGCTGGTGCAACTCTGGCCAATTCATGGGCCAACGTTACCGGTTTTGCGTTCGTGGTAATTTCTTAGTCATATTGGAAAATGTTCTCTTGTCAAACAGTTTGTAATATTGTATCTTTTGATGACGTGACATAAAATCAAATAACACTATTGTATCTCTTGTCTATCTTTTATCTGTTTAGGTTGGGTTAAGTGGAGCTCTTGAGACACTTTGTGGGCAAGGCTTTGGTGCAAAGTCGTACAGAATGTTGGGGATTTATCTACAAGCTTCTTGCATCGTATCTTTCCTCTTCTGTTTCATTATATCTATAATCTGGTTCTATACAGAGCCCATACTAATTTTACTCCATCAAGATCCTCAAATTTCAAGATGTGCTGCTGTTTTTTTGAAATTTTTGTTCCCCGGACTATTTGCATATGGATTCCTCCAAAACATCTTGAGATTTCATCAGACACAATCTGTATATGTCATGCCAATGGTCTTCTCAGGGATTGCCTTTGTTATTCATATTGGCATTACTTATGTTTTGGTACATTGGACGGCTCTTGGTTTCAAGGGAGCTCCACTTGCAGCCTCAATTTCTCTATGGATATCTGTTCTTATGATGGCCTTCAATGTTAATTATACAAAGAGTTTTGAGCGTACATGGGAAGGATTTTCGATAGAATCGTTCAATCATATCCTCAATGGCTTAAAACTTGCCCTCCCCTCTGCAACAATGGAATGGTAAGCGTACAATCCTTAAAATAAATTTATTTTCATCTCAAGTAACGTTCTCTTGCCAAATATCTAACATATTATCTATATGTAGCTAAATACACATGTACATTGAGACAAACTTCTACATGATCGATATATATATATCGGATTAATAGTATGGCAACATAAAGCACACTTTGTGACATCTGAACATCTATCCTCTATTTTTATATTTAATGTTCATGACGCCATCATTTTAGTTATTTATTTGTGTTTCTAGTTTGGAGGAATGGGCTTTTGAGATTCTTGTGTTCATGGGAGGACTGATGCCAAACTCAGCAAAAACCACTTCACTACTTGCAATCTGGTAAGCTTCGATATATTTCTCCTTAGAATTAGTCATCTTCTAAAACATGTTCATTCTGCCTTACTCAAGCAGCATTTGTTCAACTATACCTGCAGTGTGAATACACAAGAAATTGGTTACATGGTTACATATGGCCTCAGTGCTGCAGCCAGGTTAGTAGATCGAAAACTCCCAGCAAGTTCGAATTCCTTCAAGTTCTTCATTATTTGCTTTCTATATTAGTTTCATACATTGAAACAAAACATGCATATTGTGGCAGCACAAGAGTGTCAAATGAATTAGGAGCAGGCAATCCAGGCAGAGCTAAGAATGCAATGGTTGTGACTCTTAAGCTCTCTGTGCTTCTTTCTTTCGCGATTATTCTGGCCCTTGCGTTTGGTCACAATGTTTGGGCTGGCTTCTTCATTGACAGCAATGCAAGTTATGCAGTATTGAGAGAGGACTTTGCTTCAATGACACCATTGCTTGCAATTTCTATAATTGTTGATTCTGTTCAAGGAGTCTTTTCAGGTTGAGATCACTCACATTTCATCAACTTTGTTCTTTTTTTTTCTTGGTGCAGAATAATTTGATTATGGGTTTTTTCAGGTGTGGCTAGAGGATGTGGGTGGCAACACTTGGCTGTGTATGTAAATTTGGCAACTTTTTATTTGATTGGTATGACAATTGCTGGTCTTCTTGGATTTACGTTCAAACTATATGCCAAGGTAAGGCAGCCTTATAACTTCATTTTACTTGTTTTGTTAAATAGTTCAATGAATTCAGATTTTTGTTGCGCTTTATTTTGGTACAGGGCTTGTGGATTGGTATAATCTGCGGTCTCTCCTTTCAAGCAAGCACACTCTTGCTGATTACACTGCTCAAGAAATGGACTCAATCAGATTCATCTGAACATCCAGAGGAAGGAAGCCCAGTTTTGGTCTAGATAAATGTAATTGTTAAACTGTAGCAACATAGACCATTTGGGAAAACTTAGTTTATGCATTTATTCAGTTAATTTCATAATAAAATATGGATTAGTACAGTAGACATAGTTGAATACCCATGTTGAGTTGCAGTTCTGGAACTTCTCCCATCCCATGTCAAACCTGAAATGGGATGGTGTGAGGGGGTGGGGTTGCCGTGGATGAAATTGTTAAGATATAGATTAATAATAGAATATGAAATTACGAACTCAACCAATATAAGCAAGAAATAAAAGAAAGAAAAATGTTAGGTTTACCACATTTATATACCACATTGTGTATACTTCTCTAATAGAGGTGGGGGTGGACTCCACCTCTACTAGTTCGGTAACGTGTTACGTCATTTGAAAAAAAGGTATATTTTATTTAATCTATGTGGTACTATATCATTGTACTTGTGGGCCTCACACTCATAGTGTGTCAACAAACTAAAAGATTTTTCACAGAACGCAACGTCAAATACACCAAATCATGTGCAAGGCTTACAAGAAGAGAACAATGTTACCAAACCAATTCCCAAAACTTGATGTATACAAAATATAACAAGAACGTAGACACACGTTACAAGTTACTAGAGTCTAGAGGGGTCAAACAGACTGGATCAGCCTGCGCATGGCACGAGCTTGGTCCGGCCCTTAGACACCTCTACAAGCTACAAATCATCAAGATAATCTTCTCCACACTTAACTCTCTCGATCTCACTCCTGTGTGTATCTGTCTCCCACTCTCACTTTGCTTTGAATGGAACGCTGGAGATTCAAATGAAAATAAAACGCGGGACAAACTTGTGCCCCATCTTCTAAAATCAAGTACAAACACAAACTCAACAAACTGCAAAAGCTGATGGAGAGGTATTCGAAGCAGAACCTTCAAAGCCACGACTTCTCAGTCACTGATTCTTCAATTTCCCAAGTCTGTGAAAGATATTAAGCGAGGTACAAATTGCAACATCTCTCTGAGAGATAATGAGCAGGAAAAGAAGCCTTTAAGCGAGGTACTATTTCTGCATCTCTCCTTTTCTCTATAGTTAATTTCCTTTTTCTGAAGAAATTTTTTTCATCTTCCTTTTGTTAGAGATTTCAACAACCTATTCAGTAAACCCTTATTCTGAAGATCTAGAAGTGATTGCAGGATATAACTAATGAGAAAGAAAAAATAAAGATAAATCCCCAGTTATAGAAAAGAAGGATTTACATCCTTTGTTTGACAACCTGTATCTACTTAAACAA